CAGAGAGAGAGAGAGAGAGAGAAATGTTTTTCTTTTAGCCATTAATTTCTAAAAAAAAAAAAAAAAGCATTTGATAGCGTAAGCCATAAATATTTGCTTATTGTTATAGATTCTTTTGGTTTTAAACGCAATTATTTAAGATATATACAAACTTCCTATTTTAAAGTGACAAAAGGGAGTATGTCAAGTGATTCTAACAGCACAAATATTTTTAACCTTGTTATTTAAATACCTTGTTATTTAAATAAAGTGACCAAAGGGAGTACGTCAAGTGATTCTAACAGCACAAATATTTTTAACCTTGTTATTTAAATACCTTTTTATTTAAATAAAGTGACCAAGAGAGAGGGGGGTGGGAGCGGGGTTTAACGTCCACTCTATACACACTCGGTCATTTCGGGACTAAAATATGGTTTAATTTAATTTCAATAATTCGCTTGTGAGGAAACCGGGGGACCCGGTGAAAACCCACGAGGTTGGACAGGCGACCCTACTCCTTGTCACGTACAACCGGGGAATCGAAACCTCGCCAGTTGACTCAATGACAGACTTTATGTTACAGCGCGCACGTGCTAACCATTCAGCCACCCCCACTTTCTCCTAGTACATGTCCGCGATATCGCTATTGTGGAAGAAGGCGTTAAACCACGAGCTACGGCGACAAGAGATGAGATGGCAGTCAGGATATGGGGTTTTCTTATTCAACTCTTCTAGTTCTTTGGTAGCACTTTCCTATCTACTCGTAATACATTTACATCCTCTAAACTCAACCATTCTCGAGATATTGGAGTTTTTAAGTTTCTCTGGCCGGATTTATGCTAAGATTTGGCCGTATGACGGCATGGCTTCACAGGAACGTCTTTTAGCTATGATTTTCTGAGTCATCTGTACCACTTTCCTATCTACCCGTAATACATTTACACCCTCCAAACTCAACCATTCCCGAGATATTGGAGTTTTAAGGCGCCAATGGCGGCCATATTGGATTTATGCTAATTTCTCGAAAACCTATATTTTTATTTTGGGCGATTTTTGTTTGGGAGACCTTCAGGGACCCCTCTGCCAGATTCCGTCGAGAAAAATTCTGTTGTAGTTTGTTTTAGGTTATTTATTATTTTTACCGGACTAGAGGGTAATATCGCAGACACGTTGTCTTATTTTACTATGGTCGGTGCGCAGGCAGTGGTGTCTCAAGTAGGAGAAAAGTAACCACAACCGCAAGCCAGAGGTGAAACGTTAGACCACTAGGCCATTCCAACCCTTTATTTGTACCAAAATGACTGTGCTGTGTTGACAAGAAATTATATAAAACCTGTTTTATTTTTTTTAATATTATTTTCAGATATTGCTTGTGTTCATCGTGGCGGCCATCATGATATTGGCCTACTGTTCTGATTTAAAACAAGAGGCAACGTATCAAGATGTAGTTTTATCATTTTGTGGAAAGACAGCTCAGTCATGGGCGGCCATTTGTCTTTTTACTTGTTGTTTCGGGGCGTGTATAACCCTTCTAATTATTATTGGTGACCAATGGGAGGAATGTAAGTTATTGTAAATATTACATTTGACATTATTATTTACAGTTGACGTTAAAAATAAATAGGACTGGTCATGCCTCGTTATATAATATGTTCAATATAAACAAGATCGATAAATCCTTCCCGACAAGTTTTAGGCTCGGTCACCCAGAACCCCCTAGTCTTCAACGTACGGAAGGTCTGCGACAGGGAGTTTGGTTTTTAATGTGGTTGATTATCCAGTATCTCCTGGCCATGTCAATAAATCCCAATAAATCCCATAATTCTTGGATTAATATGAACAAACATTAATCGTGACGACGAATTAGGATTAATTTATAAAACATAGATATGGCCTATGAAGAGAGAAATTTTACATAAATAAAAAGTGTTGGATATTGAACTGGCATGCAATCAAATGGATTTTTTGAAATGGTATTCTTGAATTAATTTCATGGGCGACAACATCTCGTTTAGGACTAGTTACCTCCCTTAAACTTTGTTTATTATAAGGTAAAAAACCGGATATTCTAGCCAATGTCCTATTATTGTCAAATGTTGACAACTCATCCAGACTAATATTCGTAGAATATTTTTCTGGATGATAGAGACAAGCAAGTTTTAAAAAGTTCCATGCAAAGTGTGTTTATGAGATTATTATTCTGATTAGGGGATCAACACTGAATCCTTCGGCAATTTCCTTCACACGGGTGACTTGCTCTCCAGTTGTTAGACTGGTTCGGTGGTTGAGCGTTGTTAGACACTTTTTTCGTTTTAGTCTCATGTAAGATGTAATCATTTGAGACATCAGATAACATGTCATCGTCACAAACTTATAATTTGTTTAGTCGAAATGGGGATAGTCCAAATGAGATGTTATCCAAATGGGGGTGAATCAAGTATGCACGCTCTCTTAAATAAGGTTGCAATGTCCTTTCCATACAGATAAGGTTGCAATGTCCTTACAAATAAGATTGCAATCTCCTTTCCATACAAATAAGGTTGCAATGTCCTTTCCATACAAATAAGATTGCAATGTCCTTCCCATACAAATAAGATTACAATGCCCTTTCCATAGTAGTTGAATTAAAACTAATTAAATATTAGGAAATGTATTTGTAAAAACGATACTGCGTAGTCCTACACATTTTCACCCAAATTAGCATACATGTGTATTCACAAATTAAACCATACTGGTAACAGCAAACTGATTTTGTACACATTCCATGTCTATTTGAATTTATACTTAATCGGTGGTGAACACTTGCGTTCTACAAATTAAATTAAATCTATTTCCACCATTTGTGTTCATGATTTCATTTCATTTTTGTTTTAAATTTTGATATTACAAGAGAGAGAGAGAAATGGAGTTTAACGTCTACTCGACACAAAATAGGTCATTTCGGGACTAACATGTGGTTCAATTTTATTTCATTAATTTACTTTAACATGTGGTTTTTACCTGTGGGAGGAAACCGGAGGGCCCGGAGAAAACCCACGAGGTTGGCCAGGCGACCCTACTCCTTGTCACGTACAACCGGGGAATCGAACCACGCCACTTGACTCAATGACAGACCTTATAATATAAGTCACACGGGTTGGACCATTCGGCCCCAGCCCCGCTCACTATTTATAAATAATCGTATGATGATTTAATATCTGTAGTGAATTGATTTATTTCAGTTTTTTTGTTTGTAAGTAAAGAAACTTATTGTCATGACAAACCACTTTATATGGATAGACGTTTTACCATAGTGGTGACTTCCCTCTTATTTATTTTACCACTCTGTTTTTCTAAAAGGATAGATTGTTTAAAATATGCCAGGTAATTATTGTGTTATATCTAGTTTTTAAACGGATTTAGATTGATTATGTAAGATGCATTATGTAAGATATAAAGCTGCTATAATTATGTAAGATTATGTAAGATATAAAGCTGCCCGTTCTTGCTATAATAGTTCAAAAATAGATCATGAACGTATTAAAAATTTCTGAGCGAAGTGTTTTGATATGATATTTTTGATATGATAATAAAAACATTTTTGGTCATCTATTTTATTATTATTAATTGACGAGAATGTTCTAATCTAATCATTATCTAAGCCATCCAGTGGTCTAGGGAGTTGATTAATTTTTTTTTAAACTAGTAAATAAATGTTTTGTTAATAATTTATATAACATTTATAGGCCAAAATAAAAGATATGTAAATTTAAATCTTACATAATAAATGTGTAACATGGATTTAAAAAATACTCAACAAAAGATTTTGCTAAACTTATAGTTGTCGCTGACAACGTGGTTAATAGACAAAACGTGCTTAACCTGAAACGGCAAAACATTTTGCCTTATAGTTAAAACGTCAATAAATTGACCATGACGGTCATAAAAATCTGTTTTATTAATATTCTATTTATATTCTATTCTATTCTATTTATATTCTTTTTATATCCATATTCTATTTATATTCTATTTATATCTATATTCTATTTATATCCATATTCTATTTATATTCTATTTATATCTATATTCCATTTATATCCATATTCTATTTATTTTCTATTTATATTTATATTCTATTTATATTCTATTTATAATTTCTGTATTATATTTATATTCTATTTATATTTATATTCTATTTATATTTATACTCTATTTATATCCATATTCTATTTATCTCCATATTCTATTTATATTTATTTCCTATTTATACTTATTTTCTATTTATATTTATATTCTATCTATAATTTCTGTATTCTATTTATATTCTATTTATATTTATATTCTATTTATATTTATATTCTATTTATATCTATACTCTATTTATATCCATATTCTATTTATATTTATTTCCTATTTATATTTATTTCCTATTTATATTCATATTCTATTTATATCCATATCCTATTTATATTAAACATCCTGTGTGGATAGGACGGTAAATGTTGCTAAATATTCAATTCGCCTTTGTTTTAAATTGTCGTCCTATACTTGTTTCAGTTTTGTGGGCGTGGCGGCTATTTTATATGTAATGGGTATGGTTGCTGTCAAATATTTTATACAAGATACCAGTGATAAACCGACTTATGTTAAAACAAAGTAAGATATGTTATACAAGATCCAACTGATAAACCAAGGGCAACAGCCAATGTATTCAATAGACTCGTGTCCTGTGTATTTCTATTTCGGCAGTTGGGTGCCCGAATGGTTAACCCACACTCACAGATCATAAGGTCTGTCACTGAATCATTTGGTGTGGATTCGATTATCTGCTGGTACGTGACAAGAAGTAGGGTTGTCTTTCCAACCTTGTGGGGTTTTGTCCGGATCCTTCGGTCGCCCCCACCATATGTTGGTTCCGAAATGACCTAGTTTGTGTCGAGTGGACGTTAAACACCATTTCTCTCTCTCACTATTTCCATTTCAATTACTAAATGTCATCGAAACAATTTAAAGAATCGTAGATAATTTATTTTCAGACCAGATTCTTGGATGGATATATTTCTAGTAATTCCAGAGATATGTTTTGCTTATCAGGTTGGTTCAAGCAAATAATTCCCTGTTTTCTACCTATTTTAGCTACGAGGTCCTAGGTTCGGTTCCGAGATAGTTACACAATTTTCCAGAATTGTTTTCTCTTGTCAGTTGTTTATCGTCAGGGTCCTGACAGAGAACAATGGCTGGTTGTTCTTATCGGAATGGTTAACGAGTGCACGCTGTATCATAAGGTCTGTCATTTAGTCAACTCACGTGATTTCGTTTTCTCGGTTGTACGTGACAAGGAGTAGGATCGCCTGTCCAACCTCGTGGGTTTTCTCCGTGCCCTCCGGTTTCCCCCCACTGCTAACGGCCCCTACGCACAAGCGAATTATTGAAATAAAATTGAACCATATGCCCAAAATGACCTGGTTTGTGTCGAGTCGACGTTAAACTCCATATCTCTCTCCCTATATCCAGTAACACAGAACAAAAGCGTGTACTTTATTCAAAGATGCATTATGTGGTCAAAGGAAAGTGATTGTTGTTATTATCTCTGAATTAATTTTGATGTTTTGATTGTTATATTTTGCTCATGAATTTAAATGGATGGTTGGGTTTATTTCCGATCATTTTTTGATAAAACCAGAAGTAGTAAATCCATTAAGTTGTGTTATTAGGAATAAAACAGATGTTCAATAACTTGGCTTTTGATGAGAAATTAAGAAGTAAAAACTAATACTTTATACTTGTTTGAATAACAGTGCAAAGTGAGCATTATTTTTTTTATTTATTCCTGAATGGACAAAAATAAATTTAAAACCCTTTTGTTTGAATTTCAGTGCCATATGAGCATTATTCCTATTTATTCCTGTATGGAAAACAGAAATTTAAAAGAGTTTTCTAAAACTGTGTCTCTAGCGATGGTTTTGTGCGTATTATGCTATACCATGACAGCTACTCTGGGATATTTGCAGTTCGGACACGGAATAACTAACGATATTATATTATCCTTTGATCCCGATGTCACAGTAATTATAGCCGTAGTATTAATAGCAGTAAAAACATATACAGCATATCCAATATATCTTTTTTGTGGGAGGTGAGTTGAACCTATACAGCATATCCAATATTATTATTTTCTGGGAGGTGATTTTAAACTTATACAACATATCAGATATTACTATTTTGTGGGAGGCGGGTTTAAACCTATACAGCATATCCAATATTACTATTTTCTGGGAGGTAAGTTAAACATATAGGACATATACGATGTTATTATTTTGTGGGAGGTGAGTTTAAACATATACAACATATCTGATAGTATTATTTTGTGGCAGGTAAATTAAAACATATACGACATATCTGATATTATTATTTTCTGGAATGTTATACCGCTTTCATCTCATTTCACATCGTTAATAAATGTTCCATTTTTTCAGGGCTGCTTTTGATTCCGTGTGGAATAGCGCTTTAAGATTATCACCAGAGGTTATTGAACAACGAGAAAGAAAGATGCGGATTGTTGTAACGTTAATATGGTTTACGATCACCGTGGTTTTGGCAATATTTATACCAAATATAGGCGTAGTCATTGAGTTTCTTGGAGCCCTTTCTGCCTTATTAATCTTTCTATTTCCAGGTCAGTGAGTCTTACATTAAGTGGGCATGCAGTTATAAAAATATATTCTGGGTATCAGATGATCCAGCGCCATTTAAAAAGGGTCGCAAGACCTGTTTTTTTATTTTTAAAAATAAAACATAAAAACAATTTTATTAATAACCTTACTTTAATGTTTACCCCGGTTTACAAGAACTATCCCTATTAAACATTTGAATGAAACCAGAAAATCGACCATTTCTTTATACTGTATATTAATACATTCCTATAAACAACATGAAAAAAATGTAGTGACATGAAATAGGATGTTTATGAGAAGTTATTTAGCCTATCAGTGATCATTGACAAAATAAAAACACAGAAATACCACTCACCCCTACCGTGAATACCTAATGCTGACTAAGGCCATACAGCAAAAGAAAGGTACAGGTACAGTTATTATAGAGATACAGATCTATGTACTATAGAGGTACAGGTCTATGTATTATTATAGAGGTACAGGTCTATATATTATAGAGGTACAGCTCTATGTATTATAGAGGTACAGCTCTATGTATTATAGAGGTAGAGGTCTATGTATTATAGAGGTAGAGGTCTATGTATTATAGAGGTACAGGTCTATGTATTTATACAGGTCTATATATTATAGAGGTACAGCTCTATGTATTATACAGCTACAGGTCCATGTATTATTATAGAAATACAGGTCTATGTATTATACAGCTACAGGTCTATGTATTATTGAATAACTGGCATTGAATCTGATAAGAAAAAAAATATAACTCTTGTTGAAATCCTTTTTCTCAACAAAACCCCCCCCCCCAAAAAAATTGAATAATCATTTATTCAACACTAATGATATTCGTCAAAATATTTAATAAAATTTTATTTTTGTTTATATTTTAAGGTATGTGTTTGATGAAATCGATGTTGGATAAAAAAGATAAAGGTCCGGAAGTCAATCCGAACTCAAATCGTACCACGTTTTTGATATTTGTTGGGTGTGCGTTTATAACATTAGGTGTTTTTATATTTGGTTTGACTTTATGTCAAGCTATACAGAAAGATATACATGGAACCAAAGCCGACACTTCAAAATATACTTGTTCGAATTAACAATGGATCTCGAGAACTGTTCGTTGATCAAGATGCCAGAGAACTAAAAGTATATGGGATGGGATGGGTCTTGGGATATTTGGTTATGGAGCGAGGGGGAGGGGGCCTGGGATATTTGGTTATGCAGGGAATATTGGGGTCTAGGGATACTTGGTTATGGGGGAAGCGGAGGTGGTCTAGGGATAATTGGTTATGTGGGTTGGGGGTCTGATATTTAGTTATGGAGGACGGAGGGGGTCTAGGGATATTTGGTTATGAAGGGAGGAGTGGGGTCTAGGGATATTTGGTTATGGAGGGAGGAGTGGGGTCTAGGGATATTTGGTTATGGGGGAGGGGGAGATGGTCTAGGGATAATTGGTTATGTGGGTTGTTGGGGGTCTGATATTTAGTTATGGAAGAGAGGATGGGGGGCGGTCTGGGGATATTTGGTTATGTAGCGGGGAAGGTGGTATAAGGATATTTAGTTATGGAGGAGAGAGGGGGTCTAGGGAAATTTAGTTATGGGTAAGGGACAAGGGGGTCTATGGATATTTGGTTATGAAGGGGGATGGGTGGGGGTAGGGATATTTAGTTATGCAGGAAAGGGGTCTAGAGATATTTGGTTATGGATGGGACGAGGAAGGGTCTGGGGATATAAGGTTATGGAAAGGGAGGGGCATGTCTGTGGATTTTTGGTTATTGAGTCTGGATGGCGGTATAGGGATATTTAATTATGGAGGAGGGGGGGGGGATCTAGGGATATTTGATTATGTGGGGGGGGGGGGGAGGTCTAGGGATATTTGGTTATGATTGGCGGGCTAGGGATATTTAGTTATGGAAGAAGGTGTTCTAGGGATATTGTTAACAGCGCTCCTGCCTACTTTTCATCAAATTTCAACTATCAAGGGATCTTTTACGTGTACACCAACATGTACGTGGGACCTCGGTTTTTCATCCAATGCTAACAATTAGCCATTGCTCTTTGCCATGTCCGTTTTCCTTTTATAGGGAAACTTTCTCTGCGAATTCTGGGATCGAAACAGGAACCTTTGGTTGGCCTTACTATTAGGTAACACATTAATTTTCATAGGCACCCTATAAAAAGACCTCCACATAAAATTTGTAAATAAACGCCCCGACATTTTCGTTTTTATAGATATATTATACTTTTAATCATTTTGTTTTCTTATTAACCACATAAATTGTCTTTGTGCCAAGCGCATTTGTTTCAAATTACTTATCCATAATAAATATCCAACTAATTGCATTTGTAAATATTTCAATAGATCGAGATCGCATGATGGAATTTAAACTTGCCCCCCTCCCCAACCCCCAACCCACGCTACACTGTTATTCTCTGTGGGTCAATGGCGGTGGATCATATACGCTAGGGGGAGACAATTCAGCCAATATCTAGATAGACAAACTCCCAATCCCCCACCTGCAGATTCACTTTATTTTTTGGTATGACGATGACTAGTAGTACGTTACTCCGATGCAAAGTTATTTTTTCTACTACTATACATTTCCTGCAGCTCATAAACTGACATATTGTGATATCTTTACTAGCCAATCATAAGGCCTGTTCTCTAGTACTTGTCAGTTAGCTTGTAACGAACGACCCTCCTTAAGCTCAAATACCTACACTAGATGTAATACTGGGGGTTGGGATGACTAAATCTGTTTCACAGAGGATTACGAAAGTCTTCTTATATGACTACCTTTAACACGTGACGTTCCCTCACGCGGCGTCAATCATTGGCTCAATGGCGTGTGCATTGTTTACCTAAGACGTGACTGGTTCGGAGAGAATGCTGTCTTTTACTCATTTTAATACACATTTACCCTAATAGGAAATAATTTTTACCTGCAAATACGTCAAACGTCTTTATTTATTTTTCTAATACATAAAAAAATGGTTTAGAATTTAATTTGTCGGAGGAAAAAACTTCATTTTTGTGACTCATTAAATCGCTCTAGCTGAATGGTCATCACTGACTTGATGTTGCGGTTTCGATCCCTGGTGTGAACGTATGTGGTTTGCACATAGGAGCGCCGAGTATAGTATGATTAGATATGTCTGCGATATCACCCTCGGTGGAATCGGACGATAAGCATCAATAGAAGAAGAATTATGTGTAATACACAATACACAATCTTCAGACTGCGACATATTGTTAATGGCTCTGTAAGCTGTAGTTCACTCTGGGGCGGTTAAATATGTATGTTCCAGCCAGTCCTTTATGGCGAGTTATGGTGGCTCATTCACCTCAGGTACTTTCAGTTTTCAGCGTGGTTTCCGCATATCAGTGGTGCTGGACGGAAAGCCTGGCACGGAATGGTATCTAGGCAATAGGATGGAGGGTCCAAAATTTTTTGCACTCTTTTGCACTCTTTGCGTACAAGGAGCCGCCATTTCTCGGGCAATTTCGGTTTGAAATTCGAATAAACCAAAATGTGATTTTTCGTACTATCAGTGGTCATAATCCGTGAAGTTACAGTCCGATATCAAATATCAAAAATAACCGAGATCGTCTGGATATAAACATATATTTTAAGTTTCATCAATATCGGAATAACAATTATGACCTCTAGAGGGACCACGCCCTTGGTATTATATACTTCTACACTATGTGGGTCCGATGAGTGGCTATGTTGTGCAACGGTGATATATTTAAACGATTTTTAAAATTTGATAAACATTGTGACCTCTTGATGGACCACCAGCTACAATTTTTCGTACAATCACGGGCGTGGTTTCCCGATATCAGTGGTGCTGGACGGAAAGCTTGGCACGGAATGGTGTCTAGGCAATAGGATGGAGGGTCCAAAGTTTTTTGCACTCTTTTGCACTTTTTGCGTACAAGGAGCGGCCATTTCTCGGGCAATTTCGATTCGAAATTCGAATAAACCAAAATGTGATTTTTCGTACTATCAGTGGTCATAATCCGTGAAGTTACAGTCCGATATCAAATATCGAAAATAACCGAGATCGTCTGGATATAAACATATATTTTAAGTTTCATCAATATCGGAATAACAATTATGGCCTCTAGAGGGACCACGACCTTGGTATTATATACTTCTACACTATGTGGGTCCGAGGAGTGGCTATGTTGTGCAACGGTGATATATTTAAACGATTTTTAAAATTGATAAACATTGTGACCTCTTGATGGGCCACCAGCTACAATTTTTCGTACAATCACGGGCCATAATCCAGGACGTTAAAGTCCAAAACGCGCAAATATCGACAGGAACCGAGATCTTTGGTTTGTCAACATACATTTCAAGTTTCATCAAAATTTAACAATAAATTGTTACTTCTAAATTGTCCACAAGCTAAAAACATGATTTTTTGAACAATCAGGGGTCATAATCCATGAAGTTACGGTCCGATACATGCCAATATTGAAAGGAACCGAGTCCTTCGGGATATGAACATATATAAAGATTGTGACCTATTGAGTGTCCATTAACAAATTGTGAACGGACGTTCAGACAGGCAGTTGGACAGGGGCAACGACAATGTAGGCGTATAAAAATCGTGTAGGACACTGGAAAGTTGTAGCAGTATTCCGTGACCCCCGTAGGCTTCGGGTTTCAACTATCACCGTAAGTGGCGACAACAAACATCAATCGAACGGCGCTCTAAGACAGATATTTCGAACTTGCATTGTAGCAGGTATTGAAGTTGTATGAATTCACCTCGCATTATATTTCAGTCAACCATTGTCATGTCACACGACGATGGCTGCTTTATTAAAGATACATTAGTTATGAGCTAAATATGTCTATTGCAAGTCTTTCTGCAGACTTCAAATGTTATAGAAATTATTAATTAGACCTATAGGCCTTCGGATGGCTTGGACACAGCTTAATTAAGTCATCAAATGGCTGACCAATCTAACATTTACCGTTAATCACTGACGTCACTACCGGAGACTACCGATGAAAGGACTAATAATCGAAGGTACCGTAGGCATTGAGAAGGTTACTTGATAATTGTGAATATGTGGGCGGAGTAACTCTCATTCTAATTGAACCAGAATTTCGCAGTGTGAAGTTAGCTCGATTTTCGTTTTTCCTTTTTCGATATTAGAGATGTTCCGCAACCAGTACGAACTACGAATTTTTTTTGTGCTGACGTCATCACTTCATGTGTTCTCATTGACATAAGCGACCTTCGGTTTGTCATTTTTCTACGAAGATTTCTGGAAAAGGTTCGGCGTTAAAAAACGAGGTACGAAATCGTGACTTTCTCGCTGATTTGTGTATGAAATTCGTAATTTTACGGTATTATAGAAAGCATGAACATTTACAGTTCAGTATATGGTTGATAAGCGTCAAAGTGATCGGCAATTGTTTTGATTTTTGACAAATTTTCAGGCTGTGAAATTTGTTTTTTTTTTACACTAGGCCACGAGGTCAAATCATCTCGAATTTGATAAGAACACATTGCAATGGACTTCCCCGAGACTAAAATTTAAATTAATTTGATATTTTTTATTAAACCAGTACGAAGTACGAAGCCCTGTTCGTAGTTCGTAGTTAGTACTGTTTGAGGAACCTGTCAAAAACGAAGTACGAAGTACGAAACCGTGTTCGTACTTCGTAGTTCGTACTTCGTACTGGTTGCGGAACCTCTCTATTGGCGAATAACGAAAAAAAACTAGCTCGTTTTTCGATATTGGCGAATGTCGAAAAACCAGCTATTCGATTTTCGATATTCAAACTTGAATCTCAAAAATACAGATTTTAATCATGTATATCTACAGAATGTCCCAAAAGCACTTTTGATATAATCAGTTTTGTAAAATGAACTAAAGATATCATAAATGAGGATGCCTGAGCAGTGGATTCACATAAAAACTGCACTTTCTTCTTGTTTTTTGATATTGGCAACTCGTTTTTCGATATTCAAACTTGAATCTCAAAAATACAGATTTTAATCCTGTATATCTACAGAATGTCTCCAAAACACATTTGATTAAATCAGTTTTGTAAAATGAACTAAAGATGTCATAGATGAGGATGCCTGAGCAGTGGATTCGCATAAAACTGATATCTCTCCTTGTATTTTGATATTGGCGAATCTCAAAAAACGAGCTACTCGTTTTTCGATATTCAAACTTGAATCTCCAAAAAGAACATTTAATGGATGTACATCGACAGAATGTCTCCAATACACATTTGATTAAATCAGTTTTGTAAAACGAA